CAATCTATGGGCTCAGGGGTTGTGTAGCGATCTGTTTCTGTTGGATTACTTCTCTCCCTGTCAAATGGATCGGTGAATACTAGAAACAGTGCAAATACTGAGAGGGAGGAAACTCCAGACATTGCTAATAAACATGTCTGCTCAACCCAAGAATACTGGAGAATCTCTATGGTTAGGTGACAGAGATGGGGAAGGACATAGGAGGGAAGGTTAGGGTTGAAGGAAGAAGTGAACAATACTCTGTTAGAGGTGGGGCATGTTGGCCCGCACCTTTAATCCCAGCACTTGGGAAGCAGAAGCAGGTGCACCTTTGAGTCTGAGGCCACAGAGAGACTTCCAGGATAGCCAGGGCTATGCAGAGAAACTATCTTGAAAAACAAAACAAACAGAACAAAACAAAACAAAAAAAATGAACCTAAAACAAATTAAGAAACTACCAAAAACCAGAACTTGCTTTTCAGAGGCCCCAGAAAACTTACTACCTATCTACCCATTCATTTATATAAAAACATGTTCATCTTGATCCCTCCAATTCTGATCCAGTACTGTAGACTTTATTCTGGGCTTTCTTTCTGTGCCTTTGCTTTTTTGCCTGACAGTGAGGACTCCAGAAATAACTAAAATATATTTATTTTCTCTACCCTAAAGTCATTTCAGAATTACTAGTTGTTAAATGGTAAAAACAAACAAAAATCAACTAGAGTTTAATATTTATTTAAAAAGTTTTTTTTCAATACAATGACATATGTCTGTAATCCCAGGACTTAATAATTGCAGGAGGAATGAGGAAAAGGAGATTGAAGGCCAGCTGTGGTGGCAGATAGTGTGTGATTCATTTATTTTTGAATTCTGGCCATAGTCTGTGGTTTGACCTTGTTCATTATCTCAGCTAAGGGCTAATTCTAGAGCTGCACAAAATGCCAAACCAATCCATAGCTCAAAGTGAAACCCATAGTAAAGGTCAGACCAATGAAGATTATTCTAAGCACATGGGTTCAGAAGAGATCCCTATTGATTCAGGCACCAGCTGATGGTCCCACAGGAAACCAGGCAGAACACTCTCAGTATAAAGTGGCATGTGGGTTCACAGACAACACTGTCTTACCTCCACTGAGAGACCAGCCCCATACACTAACACTCACCTGTGCAGCTTGGCACAGAATTAAACTCCCTCAGACTAACCCAGATCAGACTAACCCATACTAAGGCATGGCTTAGTGTGATCTAAATCCTGGAATGTGCTAGCCTATTCTCAGACTGATGAGTCTATTTGTCAGGCACTTAGTGTCCTATGCTGCAGATGCTGCAGTAGGCGCCCAGGCTTAGACAGGGGAGGATTTCCCCGAAGCTCCTAAGTAAACTCAACACTTCCAGAATGGTGTCATCAAATAACCTCACAGATTTTTTTCTCATGACATATTTTGCTTCATCTACTTACTCAATTTTTAAATTATGTAATGGTATGTCCCAGCTTGGTCCCACCCCATTAACCTATGTCTTAGTAGGTTTCTATACTGTCGGTGACTATTATTCAAATATTTATCAGCTATTTTTACATTTCTAGGCATTGGAGACACAAAAGTTCTGCCTTTAGTTCTATCAAAGGAGATTAATAAATTAATAAAACTACTGTAAATACCATAAAGGTATAATAAAGACACCTTCAAAGTTCAATGGAAACATGATCTAAGAATGGTTTCTTGGGCCAGCATGGTAACATGTGCCTGTCACCCCAGCATTTGGAAGGCAGAGGCAGAAAGAGTATGGTGATAAGTTTGAAGCCAGCCTCAGCTATACAGTGAATTTGTCTTACGAAACAGGTTCTCATGTAGCCAGGCTAGCCTTGAACTTGACCTGCCTGTCTCTATCTCCCAAGTGCTGGGTCTATTGTCTTGTGCCACCTGGCTGCCTTTTCTCTTATTCAGACTGGGATGCCAACTCATGGGATAATCCTACCTGCACTTAGGGCGGACTTTCCCTCCACAGTTAATTCTCCTTGGAAGCCCTCACAAGCATGCCCAGGTCACACCCTAAGGCATGACTCATTAGTACTCTGAGTGTTTCTTGATTCGATCCATTTAAGTGACTAGTAGGATGGGATTTGTTACATAAAGTATGTATGTGCAGCATGCTCTTCCAGTCCTTGATCATGAACTCTAGAGAGTCTTAACCACATGGCTGCCTCAACAAGACCTGAACAAGGATGACACCAAGAGACATGCTAACACGGAAAGGGCAAGTCTCCACAGTCAAAGGGCCCCAACTACAGTCAAGGAACTACAGGCAACTAAAGAATACTAAGAGAGGGAGAAAAAGTCTTTCCCAAAAACACACCCCCCTTCACACTGGTTATGCAATACCAAGTGGTCAGCTCTGAAATCATATATATATATATATATATATATATATAATGATATATATATATCATTATATGTACTAAGCAAGTTATATACATATGTATAATATATCAACAGTTAAGATTTCATGAATTTGAGGCAAAGAGGTACATGGGAGGGGCTCAAGAGAGGAGAGGGAAGGGGGAAATAACATAATTGTATTTTAATTAAAAAAAAGAAATAGTAAACTAGTCAGTGGTGACACATTCCATTAATTCCAACACTTGGGAGGCAAAGGCAGGCAGATCTCTGACTTTAGGTTAGCCTGTCCTATTCCAGGACAGCCAGGGCTACACAGAGAAATACTGCCTCGAAAATCAAACAAACAAAAACCAAGGAAAAAACCAAACAAACAACAAAAACAAAAACAACTTTATAGAGAGGACAGCCCTGGTTGTCCTAGAACTCACTTTGTAGATCAGGTGTGCTTCATTACAGCCCGGCAAGGAAGGACATTTTCATATAGAAATCACAACTTCATTTCTGCTTTTAAGAAAAAGAATGTGGTTTGTGCTGGAGAGATGGCTCACCCATTAAAGGTTAGACTCATAACCAAAAATATAAGAAAAAGAAATGTGGGGTCTTGCAGAGAAGGCTCAACAGTTAAGAGCAATTGCTGCTCTTGCAGAGGACCAGGTTTGGTTCCTAGTACCCACAAAGTGGCTCACAACCGCCTCTAACTCTAGTTCTAGGGGATCTGACACCCCCTTCAGGCTTCTTCAGGCACTGCATGTAGATGGTCCATATACATAAATTCCGGCACACACCCACACCCAGATAATAATAATTAAGACTTAAAGAAACAGATCAGAGTCATCTTGAATCTACTTATTGTCTCAAGTACTTTATTTCTGTTTGTTGTTTTGAACCTGGCTCTTACTCTATAATGCTGACTGGCTTGGGATCCAGGGTCGCCTGAAACCTGTAGTATTGTTTTTTGTTTGTCAAGACAAGGTTTCTCTCTGTAGCCCTGGCTGTCCTGGAACTTGCTCTGTAGACCAGACTGGCCTCAAACTCAGAAATCCATTTGCCTCTACCTCTGGGATTAAAGTGGTGGATTAAAGGCATGCACCACCACTTTCCCAAAATTTGTGGTAGGTTTTTTTTTTGTTTGTTTGTTTTTTTTTTTTTTTGTTTTTTGGATACTAGTGTCTCTTTTTCTTTCTTTTTTGTTTTATATTTATTTTTAAAACAATTTTATTTTACATACCAATCCCAGTTCCTCCTCCCTCCCTCCCACATCTCCTACCCTCTCCCCACCCCACACACCATCCACTTCTCAGAGATGGCAAGGCCTCCATGGGGAAATCAAAGTCTGTTACATCATTTGGGGCAGGACCAAGGCCTTCCCACCTGCCTCCAGGCTGAGCAAAGTATCCCTTCATAGGGAATGGGCTCCAGAAAGCCAGTTCATGCACTAAGGATTAATACTGGCTCCACTGCCAGTGACCCCCTAAACTGTCCAAGCCCCCCAACTGTCACCCACATTCAGGGGGCCCAGTTAGGCCCCATGCAAGTTCCCTAGCTGTCAGTCTAGAGTCAGTGAGCTCTCACTTGCTCAGGTCAGCTGTCTCTGTGGGTCTCCTCAACATGGTCCTGATTCCTTTGCTCATATTATCACTCCAACCTCTCCTCAACTGAACTCCAGGAGCTTGGCCCAGTGCTTAGCTATGGATCTTGACATCTGCTTCCATTAGTTATTGGATGAAGGCTCTATGATGGCAACTAAGGTAGTCATCAATCTGATTATAGGGTGAAGGGTATTTAATGTACCCTCTCCACTATTGCTTAGATTCTTAGTTGGGGTCATCCTTGTGGATTCCTGGGAATTGCCCTAGTGCCAGGTTTCTCTTTAAGCCCAATGACTCTCTCTATCAAGGTATCTCTTTCCTTGTTCTCCCTCTCTGTCCTTCCCCCAACTAGACCTTACCGATCCCTAATGTTCTCCTCCCCCTCCCCTTCTCCACACCATACTCCCCTACTACCCCCCCTCTCCCCACACTCCCAATTTGCTCAGGAGATCTTTCCATTTCCTCTTCTCAGCAGATCCATGTATGTCTATCTTAGGGTCCCCCTTATTTCCTGCCTTAACTTGTACCCCCATCTCCAGTGTACTTGGATTTAAAAAAAATAGGAATGTTTTGCCCGTGTGTTTATATGTGCGTCATATAAACATTGTGTCCTATACTATGGAAGTCAGAGAAATCATCAGATACCCTGGAACTAGAGTTACAGATGGTAGTGAGCTATCATGTGGGTGCTGGGAACAGAACCTGTGTCCTCTGCAAGAGCAACCAGTGCTGTTAACCACTGAGTCACCTCTTCAGCCTCCAGTTCTGGGATTTTTAAGTGGGTTGGCATATGCTCCTTTAGCATAACACCAGAAAGATGTTATCTGTGGCTAGAGCTGCAGGCTTAGCTCTAACCAAGGCAGGCTATAATCTAGGTTCCCCTTCTTTTGTCATAGGTTTTTCCCCCTTCTACTATGTATTTCCAAACATTGATTCTCCTGTTACCACTAGATAGATAATATGTAGGCTACAGGGTGGATGATGGTAAACTAAGAGAACCTTGTGCAAAGATGGACATTATTCTTTTGTTCCAGCCAACTGTTGCCTGAGGAATGTAGGCCCACTGGCTGTCAGGAGTCCAGCATTTCAAGAGAACCCAGAAATCCTACTTTTTATTCCAGAAACCCCAAATATGACAACTAACTAGGAGAAAGAAAATACAAAATCCTGTGTGTGGGCTAACATAATTTCAAGTCAGATGCCAGCCTGGACAGCACCATCCTTTTGGCAGTCCTCCTGTTTCAGACTCCTTGGAGTGCAAGCTTGGGCCACCATGCCAGGCTTTAGATTGAGGTAAGATTTCATGGAACTCAGGCTGGTCTGGAATTTCTCATCTTTCCAGCTCTGCTTTCTCAATGTTGAGGTCACAGGAGCATGCCAACATACCTGGTTTATGCAGGTCTACAGATCAAACCCAGGGCTTCATGCACACGAGGAAGTACCCTACAAATTGTACTACTTTCCCAGTGCCCAGCTTTTATCATAGTGAAGAATGACAGGCATTCTCCGATGAGTCAGCTCTTTGGATATACCATCTATTCCTAAGGGGAGAGGTTATCCATACTTTTAAGTCTTATGGAATGAAGATTCTGGGATTAGGATCAAGGTTTATGCAGTTTATTCTAAGGTCTTTCCTTGGTATAAAGCAAAAATTATAACACACAGATTTATTGGCTAACATTTTTTAAATAATTTCTTTTTAGTTTTTTTTTTTTTTTTTTAATTTCGTTATTGGCTAACATTTTTTAAATAATTTCTTTTTAGTTTTTTTTTTTTTTAATTTCTTGTGCCTTGGTGTTTGCCTGCATGTATGACTGTGTAAGAACGACAGATCCTCTGGAACTGGAGTTGTGAGCTGCCATGTGGGTGCTGGGAAATGAACCCAGCTCCTCTGGAAGAGCAGGCAGTGCTCTTAACTATTGAGCCATCTCTCCAGCCCCTGGGTAATCTTACTGCATGATTAGAATTTATTCTAAATAGTTATAGTCCTTATAATTTATAGAATATATTCTATACAGTGGTTTGAATGTGCAATGTTCCCCACTCAGGCTCATATAGTTGAACATTTGACCCCCAGCTGGTGGTGCTGTTTCAGAAGGTTGTGGAACCTTTAGGAGGTGGGGACTGGTTGGAGAAAGTGGGTCAGTGTGGGGTTGGGCCTTGAAGTTTTATAGCCTGTTTCCTGTTTCTTTTATTTCTCAGCTTCCTGGCTATGGATGTAATGTGAGCAGCTACCTCATGTTCCTGAGCCATTCCTTTCCCACCAAGATGGGCTGGATCCCTTCTTAAACTCTGAGCTGAAATACAGCCTTCCTTTCTTGAGTTGCTTGTCAGGTATTGTGTCATAAATGTAGTGAAATGTAGAGAAATGTAGTGAATACAATATGCTTCAGGATTCTATTTTGATGTGTGTGTGTGTGTGTGTGTGTGTGTGTGTGTGTGTGTTTGTGTTTCACTGGGGAGGCTCACTCTGCCACTGAGCTATATCCATAGGTTCATGCTTTTGTTTGTTTGTTTGTTTTGGGACACAGTATCACTAAGTTCTCCAGGCCACCCTTGAACTCATTCTATGCCTGAGGCAGGCCTTATACTTTTCAATTCTCCTACCTCAGACTCCCAAGATGCTGGGATCATAGGTTCATTTATTATATGGACATGTGTTTTAAAATTTACATTGTTTTATTTAGAAATGTTTTAACATTACAGAGAAACTAAACTTTCGAGGTTATGGATGTTATTAATTTAGACATCATTCATTGGTTCATCATAAAAGGAAGCTAAGAGATGATTCACAGGATGAAACAGTTCAGCATTGGAGTGGAATGAGCTAGCTTTCCAAGGATGCCACTGGCTCTAAATGAGAAATAGCCCTTATCATCTACAACTACTGTGTTGTCTCCTACTGTGTTGTCTCCAACTGGTTGAATCTCTCCTTCCTTTTGGGTCTAATCTCACAGCTACTATTGTTGCTTGCAATACTTTTCCTAAGGATTTTTTCTAGAGGAATAACACCACCTTTAATTGCAGTTTCAGCTGCATTGCTTTCAACCAATGCTCTGTCAAACAGCAGAAGAAACACTCTGCTTGTCCTGACTTGAGTCTTGACACTGCAGTTGGGACTCTGCACTCCAGCTGCTGCTGCAGGACTGTCTTCAGTCTGGCCTCAGGACAGGTGGAAAGGCTGCCCAATACGTTGCTGTTGTCGCTTTTTGTTTTTTGGGGGGAGCAGGTTTGGCAAGATTGCTAATAGGAAGGGAGCTCGCTGTTGTTAGCATGTTAGGACCTTTTCTGGCAGGGATAGCATACTTTAAAGGGGCTCTTGAAATTATGTCCACTGTAAATAGATCTATATATGATTTATTGCTATGAATATTTATCTCCTACATGTTAATCTGCATAGTAACAAAATGGAGAAGTTGAATTTTCCATTTTCTTTCTCAAGGGGAAAAGAAAGAAAAACTGAAATTTATTTGCCAAAACACGAAGAGAAAAAAGCAATAATCTCTGAGATAATTTTCTTGTATTCATTTATATATTCAACAAATACGTGTTGATTAGGATCTGTGTGCTAAACCAAATATGGTCTATACCATCATGAACCTTATACACTAAGTGAGAAAGAGAAGAAAAAATTAAGGAGTCAGGCGTGGTGGCACACGCCTTGAATCCCAGCACCCAGGAGATAGAGGCAAGTGTGTCTCTTTGAATTCCAGGCTAGCCTGGTCTATACAGCCAGGTTTAGGACACCCAGGGAGAGATAGAGAGACTCTGTATCAAAGGAAAAATTACTTCCCCCATGTATATGAGTGAATATGTGATAAAGGAGACAGGAAAACTGGGTTGGGTAGCTGGCAGGGTAGCCTGAGGTAACAGTACTTGAATGTGAATAAGAAGAATCAGCCACTCTTCTGAAATGGGATGAACTTGGGCAAAGGTCCTAGGTGGGAAGGTTTCCAAAGAACAGACAAACTGACATGGCTGAAGTGTAGTGACTCAGAGAGGGTAGAAGGATGTGGTGCAGAATGTAAGAGTGACATGCAGGGCTTTGACAGACAGAGTGAGGAGTTTAAAGGGTTTAGATGAGGAGCTATTGTTTTCAGTGAGTGAGTACCATCTTTTAAAGGACTGTGGAGAAGGGAGAAGGGATTATAGTGGACCAATGATGATGATGATGGTTAGAGAGACAGAGATAGAGAGATTGACTGATTTTGGAGGCAGAAGAGACAGAACCTGCTGGTGTATTAGAATGTGGGATGAAGGAGAATCAGAGCTGACTCAGAGTTTCAGTTGAGCAACCGAGCACATGTTATTTACTGAGATAAGGGCAGAGAGAATACAGAGTAGGTTGGGAAGGAGTGGATGCTGAGACAGGGCCAGTTGCTAGAGATCTGGCAGGTGGGAATTTCTGCAACAGGGGAAAGACGGAAGGAGAATTCTGAGTTGGTAGTTGGCAGATGGTGAGGTAAAACACACCTCTTCCAGCCAAGGGAGGAGCTCCGGAGTAACAGCTGTAGTTACAGAGTTCCCATAAATGGGATGCATAAGCTACCAGCCTGCTAGTTTACTGCCTGGCAGTCTGGTATCAGATGGGAATCATGACTCTGGCTCTCAGGCTGAGGTGGACTCTGAAGCAGGTGACAGCAGAAGGCTGTGAACTAAGCACATGTCTCCCAGCTGGGCTCCAGAAGCAAACCTCCACATCTCCCAAAGAAAACATTTCTGTGGCAAATGTATTAGTTAGACTTTGTGTTAATGTGACCAAAGTGCCCGGGAGAGCAACTTAAGGGAGAAGAGGCTGATTCTGGCTTACAGCCTCAGAACTGTCAGTTCTCCATGGTAAGAGGGGCATGGCAGAGCAGAACAGTTCATGTCATGGTGGCCCAGAAACAGAGGGGAGGGAAATAAAAGGAGACAAAGAAGAAAACAGGAAACATCCAGCCAATGGTGACTTTATGAAGAAACAGTCTCAGAAAAGAAGTGGCTACGGAAGACAGAGTAATAAAATCTGAGTAAAAGAGAGGTGAGTACATAGAGAAAGGAAACTGACCTGGACCATTCTTCAGGGACAGGTTCTTGAGAGGGAGGATGGCAGGTGGGTCAGAAATAAGAAGCCAGGAAGTTGGGAGGCAGAGGCAGGTGGATCTCTGTGAGTTCGAGGCTAGCCTGGTCTACAGAATGAGTTCCAGGATAGCCAGGACTGTTTCACAAAGAAACCCTGCTCAAAACAAAACAAAACGCAAACACAAACAAACAATCAAACAAACAAACAAACAAAACCCTCAAACATACATACATAGAAACCAGGAAAATTTGGGATCAGGATGTCTTGCACAAGCTGGTGACTCATGCAAACAACTTTATTAGGAAGTACAACATTTGACATTCCGGTTGCAGGGAGAAAAGGGGACAGAATCAGCAGAAAGCTATCATATCACAGGATGAAGTCAAAGGAAGTAACCAAGTAGTGCTACACAGAAGCAACATAGGATATCTCCCAAATGCATTACAGACCAGGGGCAGCAGCCTTGGGATTGATAACCACAGCCCCAGAGAAGGAAAAAGTTGGCATCTCAGGATCCCATATCTCAGCTCTCCCAAGGCCTTGGCCCCAGGCTATTACTGTCTCTGCCAAGCATGTTCCTGGTTTTAGACAAGGAACTATGTTCTACCCCCATACTTCAGTGTCTCAGGGAAAGCTTTGGATGGGCCTGGCTCCCAACAGAAACTTTTCAATAAATGTGAACACTAACAGGGTTGGCTCAGTGGTTAGAAGCACTTGCTCTTGCAGAGGCCTAGGGTTAGGTTCCCAGCACCCACATGGCAGTTCATAATAATCCAAAATTCCAGTGCCAGTGAGTCAGATGCCTGCTTCTGAATTCCTTGGGTACCAGGAACACACATGGTACACAAACTTACATGCAGACAAAATACTCATACACTTAAGTAAGTCTAAAAAAGAAAGCAAGCTTGTACTGCTCTTTCAAAGGACTTCAGTTTGATTCCTAGCACCCACATCAGACATTCACACCTGTCTGTGACTCCAGATGCAGGATGACTCTGGCCTCCATGGACAACTAAACTCATATACACATACTCACAAATGGAAACACACATATGCATAATTGAAAATAATTAAAAAAATAAGAAATACCTGAATGTGGTGGCTCATGCCTGTAAACCTAGTACATAGGACGAGGCAGGAGAATTGCCTCGTAAATAGTTTTGTAATTTTGGCTCATGCCTGTAAACCTAGTACATAGGACGAGGCAGGAGAATTGCCTTGTAAATAGTTTTGTAATTTTTTTTTTTTAGATAGGGTCTCACCATGTAACTATGGCAGGTTTAGAACTTCCCATGTAGACCAGGCTGGCCTTGAACTCACAGATATCTGCCTACTTTTGCCTCCCAAGTTCTGGTATTAAAGGCATGTATCTTCACATTTGGCTTTTTTTTTTTTAGTAAATTTTAAAATTTGAATTTTATTTATTATTAGTATTTATTAGTAGTATTGATTTTAGTAGTTGTGTGTGTGTATGTGTGAATACACATGCCACAATGCGCAGGTGGAGGTCTGTCTTAGTTAGGGTTACTATTGCTGGGATAAAACACCACGACTAAAAGCAAACTGTGGAGGAAATGGTTTACACCTCCACATTACTGTTCATCATCGAAGGATGTCAGGGTAGGTACTCAGATAGGGCAGGAACCTGGAGGCAGGAGCTAATGCAGAAGCCATGGTAGGATGCTGCTTACTAGCTTGCTCCTCATGGCTTGCTCTGCCTGCTTTCTTATATAACTAAGATTACCAGCCCAGGAGTAACCCCACCCACAATGGGCTGGGCCCTCCCCCATTGATCACTAATTTATGCTAGGCAGATTGCTTCCCAATCTTATGGAAGCATTTTTCTCAATTAAGGTTCCCTTTCAGACTATTCAAACTTGTATCACACTGCCATGAAACTAGCCAGCACAAGGTCAGAGAAAGACTTTTAGGAGTTAGTTTTGTCTTCCTGTTATAGCTTGGGGATGGAATTCAGATTGGCAGGCTTGAGAGGCAAGTGTCCACTGAGCAATCTCCCTGGATTATAATGGTTTTGAAGCTAGCTTGGGCTATATAGAGAGTTATAGGTCAGCCTGGGATACCAAACTGAGACCCTGCCTGAAAATAAATTTTAAAGTTTTGAAAAATAAGCAGAAAAACAGTTTGGAGGTTGGTTTGGTATCACAAAAGGGTCACAAAAGGGATTTTTTTCTTGCCAATGTTACATTATGGAAGTTTTAAGTATATAGAAATTTGAAAGAATTTTGCACTAAAGTCATTGAATTCTATACTTAATATGTTACTCCTCTTTTTTTCTTTTTAAATCACATTTCTTTACCCAATAGAAAGGGACTTTTAAAGATGGAGAAACTCTGGTACCATATTCACAGGCCCAGGTGGTGACTCTACAGGCAGAGAAGGATCACAGTAAAGGAGAGGAATAAACCGAAGAAAGGAATGGAGCCATTAGGCAGAGGGGGACAAAGTCATCTGAGCAAACCAACTGCCTTTTGGGTTACACATGAGCAGAAAGAAAAAAGGACTAAAGAGTCATGAGGCTCTGCAGATTGATTCTGAGATATGGCAAGCACAATGTTACTGCCTAATCAACTACTCGACTCTGTTCTTCCTTGTTAATGGACCCCAAATTTGATGTGGGGGTAACAGTGTAGAAAGGGATTGATTGTGATTGGCACAGGCCAGTCATGACTATTGTTTCCCCCATTGTGGGACACTGGCTATCCCAGGATACCCTGAGGTGAAGAGAGTGATTTGAAGGGCCACTGTGAAAGAGATCGAAAACTTTCTCAGAAGAGGCTCTTTGCTGCCTCTCCTGCCCAGTCTGTGACCTCTGTATTTTCTGCTTTTGAGGTAAAGATTCATGATGTCACTAGGAGTGTAGTGATATCAGCATCGGGGAACTGTAAGCAGGAGGATCAGGAGTTTAAGGTCATCCTTGGCTATACATAGGCTAATCTGAGCTGCGCATGGTCCTGATCCCCCTATCAATCCCCAAATAAAGAAAAACAAAACAAAAATAGTGAACAACTTGGGTTGGGTGATGAAATTCAGTCTAAGAGCATTTGCCCAAGATGTGAGCCTTGAGTTCCATCCTAGTATGACAACCCTTTACCCCAACAAAAACAATAGAGTGTCCAAACTGACAGAAGGAAGTTCTCAACAAAGGCAATTCAGGTTATCTGCTAAAAATGAGTGGGAGGGGAGGAAGAAGTCCAAAGATGTGTGGGGTGGGCATGGAAGGTGTGAGAGGAGGAAGGTGGAGAGGGATGCTGGAAGGTTGCTGGGCAGTGTGACTGATAGGATAAAAAGGTAGATTATTGAATCTATTCTAATAAGAAAAAAAAGGGAGGATATACATATGATAAGATAAAAAAGGTAGATTACTGAATCTACTTTTAAAAAAGCAACTACTAACTAGTTTTAAATATTTTTATATTGGATTGGACTTCTGTATATTATATACAAATATTGTATATTGATACATGCATGAAGTATCCGAATGCAAAGCCAGCCACATTAGTTAGCTGTACTCCTACAACTCAGGATGGATCTCTGTGAGTTCAAGACCATTCAGGGCTACATGAGAGTGAATCAGTCTAAAAGATTGACAGAGCCCATGCCTTTAATCCCAGCCCTAAGCTGTATTCTGAGATTTAGTTCTCAGCCACGTTGAGGAGAGGCAGCAGTAAGGGGCTTGGAGGAGAGCTTGTGGATACAGGATCAACCCTTTTGGTCTGAGGTAGTAGTAAGAGCTAGTGGTTGGCTGCTTTGCTTTTCTGATCTTCAGCTTGAAGTTTGAACCCCAGTATCAGTCTCTGGGTTTTTACTATTCGTGTTACATGTAACTATGACTTTAGAGACAGCTATCTGGTGACTTTTCTCCCACAGCACAGGTGGAGAGCACTTTGGCTTCACCTAAGGCTGAGTTTGTATCAGATGAGAGCTCCAGAGGGAAATAAAGGCAAGGGAGCAGATGCCTGTGTGGGAGAGATTTATAGATCAACCACAGACATTAAACTAGGTTATGAGGGAAGAAATGACACTAGAAATGATGCTAGAACCTAAATGGAGCTGGGCATGGTGATATGTGTCTATAATTCTAGCGTGCAATATGAAGGTGGAAGGGGGATCAGAGATGAACAATTGATAGAGGAATCCTGTCTCAAATAAATGAATAAATGAGTGAATAAATGAATAATAATAAAGAAGGAAACAACAACATACAAGAACCAAGTTTTTTGTTTGTTTTTTTTTTCAGGAACTAGCTAGTCAGAAACAGAATCTCTTGCTTCCTCATAGATCTACTTAATCAAAAGTTGTGTTTTATCAAGCTCTCTAGGGCCAGTAAGATGGCTCAGTGGGTAAAGGTGTTTTCTTCCCTGAGTTCAATCCCTGGAACCATTAAAGTTGGAAGGTGAGAACAGCCTCCAAAAGTTGTCCTCTGGCCACCCACTCACATCATGCACGTACACACACACATACAAAATCACAATAATAACAATAACTTAAAATACATCAAGAGGTTTGTATATACATGAAAGACTGAGAAGTAATGGACTAGTGGACTTGATGACAGTGAAGCATTTTTTTTTTTTTTGCACTAAGGATACTGAAAATAGGATTCTTCATGAATTATCTAGACCTTGATTTACTGACCTTGTAAAAGGCCAAGTATTTTCTTGTTCCATGACCCTGGATGCCAAACATGCTAAGAAAGCACTCTCCCACTGAGATATATCTCCAGTCTTTTTACATTTTATCTTAAGATCATTTTGCTTAAGATGAGGCAGGTCTCAAACTTGCAATCCTCCTGTCTCAGTCTCCTGAACAGCCTTGGATTACAGGTAGGTGTATGCCACTGCACCTGGCTCATAATTTGTGTCTTGAGAGTTGAAAGGTTTTTAAATGTCTCCTCAGATCTGCCATTTCAATACCATGGTAGCCAGAGACACTATGTAAAGATACTGTGTATGTAATATGTGTAAATATTGAATATGGCTGTATGCCAACAAAACTATCTACAAAAGCAGGCAGTGGGGTAATTTGGTCCCATAGCCACAGGTTGCTGATTTGTGAACTAAACTTTAATACAATTTGTAAGTCTTGGCTCCCATGGTTTGCTGTTGAGTTTTTTAGTTTCTGAGTACTTAATGTATCTGGAGTCTTCTTCCATCTTCTGAACACAAAGAGCTTGCCTTTCTTTGTAACAAACTGATCAGCCAATGTCATGTTGAATCCTGGAAGAAGACTACAGAGGGGGCATACTGCAGTGTTAAAAAGTCATAATAGGCTGGGCATGGTGGGGCACACCTTTAATTCCAGCACTTGGGTAGACAGTGAGCACCTGCATCTCTGTGAGTTCAAGGCCAGTCTGGTATATAAGTCAGGGCTGTTACAAAACCAAAAAAAAAAAAAAAAGCCAGAATAGGTGGGACATGGTGGCACATGCCTGTAATCTCAGCAGTCAGGAGACAGAGGCAGGAGGTTTGCCACTAGTTCAAGGCCAGTTTGTTCTACATATGGAACTCTAGGGCATCTAGAACTACAGAGAGAGAACCTGTAACAAGACATTAGAATATATACAATATATGTACATAAATATTACACACACACACACACACACACACACACACACACACACACACACACACACGAGAAACAAAAACATCCAATCCTTTAGAAGCTTCTTACACCACCCTTTCTCCTGAGGTACCAATAACTACACTGTGGGGCAGGGCTCAGAGCTGCCAGTTTGCTTAGATGTGTTCCTTTTCTTCTTGCCTTCCCTCCAGCAAATTCATTTTGAGTTTCTTAGCTGAGCTAGGTTTCCTTGGAAATCAAAGAATCAAACTGTATAGATCAAGTTGAGCCACATCCCATGAAGGCAATAATCAGCCAGGGTTTCCTAGGTAACAAGCAGAGGGTGTGTGAGGAGAGAGGATAAAATCTATCCAGTACCTTCTCCAGCATCTCATCCGACCCCCAGGTTACAGGTGCAGAAATACCTATTAACACATCACTGTAGCAGAGTATGCCAGGCACCTGCTGATTTACTCTTCACTATCTCTGCAGCATGAACTACTACTGCTTAGAATCTTGCTGAGTGACATTAGCTAATAGGAATGGAGTTGGGTTTAGTTAATAATGTTAAGTAAGGGCACTTTCTAAAGGCAATGGGGTGGACTGCCCAAGGCAGCAAGCATCTTGGAGCTGTTCCCCTAACCCCCAACATAATTACTTTTATTGATTATTGATATTTGGGAATTTCACATTATGTACCCCATCAAGTCAGTCCCCCATCCTTGTGACCTCCCCCAAAAGAAAAGAAACAGAAACAGAAACAAAAAATAAAGCAAACAAAAATGTCCAATTTGTGTTGCCCATATACTCACTGGAGCATGGTCAAACTCCCAGTGGCCAGCCCATTAAAAAAAAAAAATCCTTCCCCCACCCTTTAATCCAGGTATATTGGTTTCCTGCTCATGCTACCTCTCCATTCAGAGGTTGACTTATTGGTTACATGATAGACTGATTGGTTACTCTGAAAGAACACACACCTGGCCTAGAGTCAGATAGCAAACTCAAGACCAGACACAAATGCCAAGCATTTGAGGCTGGATTGGGGATGGATCCTGACTTGTGCCATGAACTGGCTGTTCTTCTGTCCTCCCTATCAGGAAATTCCCCATCCTTACTAAAACCCAAGTTTCAGGTTTTACTTACTAAGCAACATTTATTTCTCTTGTTAAAACTACATTGTGTGTGTGTTTGGGGGTGGGGAGTAGCACATGTCACAGTGAACATGTGGAGGTCATAGGACAACCTTCCACCATGTAGGTCCTAGAGATGAAACTCTGAGCCATCTCTCTCCCACCATTCTTTCTCCCTTTCTTTTTTTCAGTGCTGAAGACTGAACCAGGACCTTGAATATACCAGGGAAGTTCTCTACTGATGTTATTTTTCTTTATTCATTTTTACTGTAAGAACTGCTCTTCTGGTTTTTATTTAGTATTGTTTAGTGTGAGAGTTTGAGACTGGATCTCACACTGTTGCCCAGGCTGGCCTCAAATTTAACATTGATTCTTCTGCCTCAGTCTCTCAAGTGCTTAGATTTAAGACATGAGCTACTACTCCAGGCCTTTATCCTCATGGCCACTGTTCATCCTGTTTTTCTTGTCTTCTCCTTGCCATCACCCCAGAAAGTGTCACCGTCTCAGTCACCACATGCGATTATCTTCTTACGTCATTGGGTGAATCTCATCTTCTTGTTTGCCAGGTTTCCTGATTGCCATTGGATTTCTACAAATCACTCAGGCATAGCACCACCAGGGCTTCTAAGGTCTGCCCTTAGAAAAGCTACACCCAGTTTTTGTGTCTTGTTCAGATAGTATTTGTCCTTGTGCTAGATAATAGTTAATAAAACATATTCAAGGCGGTTCCTGCCTTCAATGTGTTTACAGTCTAGTGTTTTGTTTGTCTTTGTTTCATAAGACAGGGTCATACATGGCCCAGACTGGCTCTGACTTCCTATTCTTCTTACTTCTACCTACAAAATTCTAGTATTGAAGGTGTGGGCCACCATGCCTGTCAAGTCTAGTAATTTTCACAGTGATGGGGTGTAAAATCAACTAAAGGTTACTAAGGACACCTATGATGTAGGTAGTATTTCCAGTGTTTTTCAAGTTGAAATTTAGTGTCCCTACACCACAACCTTCTATCTTCCTCAAGTGTCATTATGTTCAACCTATTAATTTCCTTATATATGTTTCTGCCATTAACCCTTCAGTGGAGGCAGAGCCAAAAAACAAAAACTGGAGAACTATCCCTCTAAAACACAAAAGGAGCTTAACCTCGGAATATTAGTCTAAGTAAATGCATGAGAGGTGTTTAAGAGTTAAAATCTAGAGCTGAGTATAGTCTTAGCAGTTCAGTCACCAGCTCAAAAACAGCAGTTACTGCTTTCAATGTGCCAACCACTTCTCGGTTGATTGGCTATGCTGTAAGTGGGAGGGGTGTGTGTGTGTGTGTGTGTGTGTGTGTGTGTGTGTGTATGTGTTAGTTATAGTCCTCATTTTACATATAAGGAAATGGAAGCACAGTGCTTTTATACCTTGCCCCAAATGATGGGTTAGAGGCAACTTGAGTGCTGCAAGAGAGGAAGTCTGGTCCCTAATGGCGCCTGCAACCTATGTTGCATCTTGCTAACAGTGGCTTCCACTGGAGTTTGCCTTCCTCTGTATCTGTGGGTTCTACACTTGTAGATTCAACCAACTGTAGATTCCAGAGTGGTCTACTGCATTAGAGAGAAAGACAGAGACAGACAGAGAGAGACACATACACAGAGACAGAGCTAAGCATCAGCATTCATTTCTCTGCTTCCTGACTGGGATGCCTTGTGACCAGCTGCTTCTGCGGTCGTACTGAAAGCGCACCCTTAAACTGTGGGCAAAATAAACCCTCTTTCCTTAATTGCTTTTGTTAGCTTTTAGTTGCGGCAAGGAGACCAGTAATACACAACCTAGGACCATTTTTGTTTTTATAGAAAAAAAATTAAAGATCAGTAAGGTGTGAGTAACTGGTACTGAAGCTTCCAAACCAGCCTCAAGGGCTCTAAAGGGTTTTCTCTAACCCTCCAACCATGTGCATCTAAGAGCCCCATGGTTAAAATGAGACGAAGATGTCTCTCCACTCCACGGGGCAGAGAGTAGAGAAAGCTATATCTGAAGATGTGAGTAAGATAAAAATGAGGTAGATGCAATTTAGCCACAGTGACTCAAGGCCCAGGATAACGAGGGTGGGGTACGGGTTAAATACTATTCCGAGTCTCCTGATCCGCAGGGGGCCTGCCACCTTTTTCTCCACCACTCTGTGCGCTGCAGGAACAGGCAGAGACCAAAAACCTGGCTATCCCTAAGATTTTGTGGTAGATCCCGGGGCAGCACCTCTCCGCCTAAGTCCTGCTCCACAAACTAGTCCAGAACAGCAAGCGAAGGAAGAGGCACGGCCTCCTCGCTGGCGTCAGAGAGCGCCACGTCCCTCTAGGCTCTTTGGGCTAGATCTTCCCGAAGCTCCTTGGCGTAGGCGCTTCCCTGTACCAACTCACCAATAGGCGTCCTCCGCGATCCGGAGCCGGACCAATTAGTTGCTGTCGGGGGCGGAGGCTGTCACCATGGTAACCAGGAGGCGGGCACGCAGGAGGCTGTAGAATAGAGCACGGCGAAGGGCCGTGGGCTGGGCAAGATTGGAGTTCGCGCGGCTGGCATCAGTCAGCTTAGCCTCGCACGCGGAAAACCTGCAGAGAAGGTCAGTAGCACGGAGCTGGGTGCAAATCCCGGCCTCGGGGAGGCTTGGGCCGCTCCGAGGGGGAGAGGACGCAGGTCTTCGCTTATCCTGCCGGGCTGTGAGCTTAGAGGGCCGAGTTGTGGGCTGAGGGACTGGGGAGGGTCTCCCAGCTGTAGCCCCAGGTTCCGGGTCCTCTCTACCGCTACTCTTGCTACAGGGCACCTGAGCTTTCTTCGGGGTCGGTGGTACAAGCAGGCGGTGTAGGTGCTGGACCACGACTGGGGCGGGGTTCGTGGGTGAGGGGGATGCCCACTGGTGAGGACTCTGGACCTATCAATTCGGTGCGGATGCTCAGCGCCGCGGAGCAAAGCTAGGCCCAGGAACACAGCTCTTCCCCGGGGTATGTGAAGCCAGTATCTTTTGCCACTAAGGAGAAAGTTTATGCCAGCTGTAGTATCGTTTGCCACAAAGTGACAAATTAGGCGAAAGAGGAGCCCTTTCGATTTAGAGGAAGAGAAAGATAATACTTTGTTGCACCTGCTGAATGTTAACTTGGTGGACTGATGTGGTTATTGTGGTTGATGCAGGCAGTGGTCTTACATGGCAAGTATTTTGCAAAATCAGAAGCGGGTGGAGGGGTAGAGAATGAAAATGAACAGGAACCCTGGTTATGATAATCTATACCTTTTACATAAATTGAATGCTGTGTGCTATTATCTTAAGTTTTTTTTTTTTATTTAAGGCTCTGTTAAATCTGTGGATGAATAAAATAAATACTTCCCCCACCCCCGGAAAAAAAACCACCCTGATTTTAACAAAAGACAGGAAGCTGTGACTCACACAATCCCAGCTTTTAGGGGAGCCTGAGGCAGGAGGATCTTTTACCACTGAGTTTAAGAAACCGATACTAGCATGGACAGTAGTCACACACACAGCTTAAATGGAAATATTTGTTATAGTGAGTTATGTTTGATTGTGGGATTTCCCTATAGGATAGCTTAAACTGTTGGGATTGCCCTAAACTCAAGAGTCGATAGGAATTGTGTCAGGCATTTGGACCAGATAGCTTTTGGGTATTTAAATTGCTTCTTAAGGTCTTCCCTGACTGGTTTTGTTAAGTAATTGACTCTAGTAATACACAGATTATTTTATCTTGTCCTTCTTAGAAATTGCATTAGGAGTTTTCCTCTTTTAAGTTGTGTTATAGTTTTATATAACTCAAGCAAATTCAACAAATAATGAATGAATGTTCCTTGGTTAACACAATTAATAGTGTGAAATATTAAAATCATGGAAATTTAGAATTACAAATGAAATCTCAGATAGAATCACTCTAGTTATTACGTGAGCACAGAAGCTCTCAGCATCTGGTTTGTCTGGTATAGGTTAAAAATTCATTTCTGAGAGCCATCTAGATGGCTCAGTGGATAAAGTCTCTTGCAGGCAAGCCTGATGTCCTTCTGTTTGACCCCTGTGGCCCATATCATAGAAGGAAGTCACCAATTCCTGTAAATTGTCCTTTAACCTACACATAAATATCCATAAATTAATTTAAAAACACCTATCTAGGGGGGGAGGGGAAAGGGGGAGAAGGGATTGACATGTGAAGCAAGCCTGTTCCTAATTTGAACTAATAAAAAAAAATAAAAACCAAAACAAACAAACAAAAAACCCACCTATCTGCCTCCTTTCGGATTTATTTACAGATGCTCTTCTTAGGGCTTTCTGATTTTACCCACCGACCTGTGGTGGAGCCCCTGTTATGTTTACTTTTCTCTGTTCTCCCAAGGTACTTACTGTTCCTTTCACTCTCTCTCTCTCTCTCTCTCTCTCTCTCTCTCTCTCTCTCTCTCTCTCTCTCTCTCTCTCTCTCTGTGTGTGTGTGTGTGTAGGCCAGAGGTCCATTTCAGTTCCTCTATCACTTTCCACCATATGTTTTGAGACCTAGAGTTCACCTATGTGGCCAGACTAGCTGGCAAGGAGCCCCAGGGATCCTCCTGTCTCTTCTTCCCTAATGCTGGGATTATAGGCATGCAGCCTGCCTGGCTTTTTATGTGGGTGCTTGGGATTCAAACTCAGGTCCTATGCTTATGTGGCTAACAGTTTACCAACAGCCATCTCTTTAACGCCTCTTTCCCCAACCGCCATTTCTCCAACCCCTTACACAATTTATATATTCTTTCAGTATACTTTTTATTTGTTTGTTTAAGACAGGATAGATTCAGACCCCATATGTAGCCCAGGTTGGCCTGGAACTTACTGAAATCCTTCAGTCTCAGCCTCCTGTGATTATAGATTTGTGCCACCAAGCCCCAACATTCAGCATGCTTTTTACCAAGTTGGTTTGTGTTCATAAATACAAATTGAAATCATAAGAAGGCAATTAGGGCACTTTTCAAATCAGTAGTTATTAATTATGGGCATTAATTCTAGTGTCATATGTTTTGTGTGTCTTTGCTGTCAGATGGTAGAATAATATATGTTAAAATTATATCCTACTTTCTAAGGACCCTTTAAGTGGCTGGTGTCTGCAAAATATTTGAGTATTTGGGAGCTGGAAGGGCCAAGTGCCAGTTTTTAAAATATATTGAAGGGCTAGCAAGATGTGTGTGAGGGTAAAGGTCCTTGCTGCCAAGCCTGATGATCTGAGTTCAGTCCCATAGCCGTATCAAGGAGGAAGAGGAGAACTGACTCCTCTGGGTTCTTCTCTGACTTCTATTTGAATGTCCACATACATGAAGTAAATACATAAATAATGGAAAAATAAAAAAAAAGAATTACTGAAAGTGATACTATGTGGGCTTCATAGCTGGCTCAGTGATTAGGAATGCTTGATTTTCCAGAGGATCTGTGTTGGGTTTCCTAGTACCCATGTCTAGCAGTTCACAGCCACTTGTAACTCCAGACCAGGGGATGACACCCTCTTTCGGCCTCTCCTGGCACACTCACACACATGACACCCCCCCCACACACGAATAAACAATAAAATGTGTTGAAAGTAATTTATATTTTATTAATAAAATAAATATTATTTAATTTTAAGACAAATTTCATGTAGCCCAGGCTGTCCTGGAACTTACTATGTAGCCCAGGTTGGCCTCAAATTTAAGGCAGTCTCCTGCCTTACCTTCCTGAATTCTGGGATTACAGGTAGTAGCTATGACATCCAATTTAATTCAGTCTTATGGTCAGGAAAATCAAGACTCAGGAAATCAAGTCGCAGACTAAGGGTATGGCTCAATGGTAGAGCTCTTGCTCAGTATCCATTCAATTTCAGGCTGGGGTAAGTGAGGGAGGAGAGAAAAGTGCAAGTAACTAGCAAATAAATGAATGAGGCTAGGGTTCAATGTGCTGTTTCTTTGTTTTTACTATGCTGTATTGAAGTCATGTACAAAATATAACCTGCATATTCTCACTCTTCTATATAGATAGTCTTATATTTAATACACCACCTAAAAAGACATCTGTCACTAAAATTTGAAGGGGATTGATTTGCTTATTTTCTTTGCAGACTACATAGAAAGACTTCTGTTCAGCCTTGAGTTTAAACATGTGTGTCTTGTTTTATGTCGTGGGGTTTCAGAAAAGGCTTTGAAATGCACTGGTTTTGATCTTTGTGGCAGGGAGAGATTGCTCAGTGGGTAAGAGCACTTGCTGCTGTTGCAGAGGATCTGGGTTCAGTTCCCAGAACTGCTGCTCACAACTGCCTGTAACTTCCATTTCAGAGGCTCTGACGCCCTCTTCTGGCTCCCACAGGCACTTTCGTGCATATGGTGCACATTCAGATAAGTAGACACGTACACATAAAATATAATAATAATAATAATAATGATAATAATAATATAACACATCTGTGACAAACTGGGATCAGTTTAATTAAAATATTTTAATATTATTTTTGTATGTGTGTAACATGGCTTGTGTGTGGAAGGTCAGAGGACAACTTCCCAAGTCAACTTTCTTCTACCATTTGGGTTCTGGGTCTCAGGTGTGTCAAGCATGGTGGCAAGTGCCTTTACCCACTAAGCCATCTTACCACCTCCAAGTTAATTGTTTTAAGGTAGTAGTAAGTATAAAGAAATATTTAAGTTAAGAATTTGTTATTTTTTTCTGTGATTAAATTCCCCTTTATTCCCCCCTTTCTTTTTTTGTTTTGCTTTGGTTTATTTTGTCATATTTGGTTTTGCGTTTTTCTTTTAAATCTTGTTTGGGGTTAGATGTTGCAAGGGTTGGGGGGAGATGGACGGGAACAGGATGCATTATGTGAAAACTTCAAAGAATCAATAGAAGTTAAAAAAAAGAATTTATTAATTCTTTATTATTATTATTATTATTTTTGAGTCAGTCTCATTTTGCCCGGACTGGCCTCAGACTCTATATATAGCCAAAGATGGCCTTGGTCCCCTGTTTTTTCCTTCATACTGGATCAACAGGTTGTGTAACACCATACCTGATTTTCCAGGTAAGGCCTTACCAGAACAAGTTATCCTTGGAGCTGGAGAGATGACTTAAGGTTAAGAGTACTCCTTGTTCTTGCTGGGGACCTGGGTTTTGTCCTCATGGTGACTCCAACTACATATAACAATAATTCTGACCTCTAGGACCACCTGACATGCAGGTGGTACTCATGCATACTTACATGCAGGAACTCACAATACACCTAGAATAAAAACAAATAAGTTAAAAAAAATGAAAAAGCTACCCCATGTTTTATTTCTGTGAAGAGATTCTATGACAATGGTGACTCTTATAAAGGAAAGCATTTAACTGGGGCTTGCTTACAGTTCCAGAGGCTTATTCCATTATCATCATATTGGCGAGCATGGCAAAATGCAGGCAGAAGGAGCTGAGGTTTTTACATCTGGATCCACAGACAGCAGCGAGAGAGAGCCACTGGGCCTGGCTTGGGTTTTTGAAATCTCAAAGCACCCCCAGTGACACACCTCCTCCAACAAGGTCATGCCTCCTAATCCTTTCAAATAGTGCCACTCCCTAAGCTTTTAAATATATGAACCTATGGTAGCCATTCTTATTCAAACCAGCACAGTCTTTGTCATACTCTGTGTATTTGCTGAGAAAAACAAATGCTGTGATCCTGAGTTTGTCCAGTATGGTGCAACTTAGGCATTGTATATAGATCTGTTTGTTCTGGCCTTTGACTGTTTATTTTACCAGTAAACTGACAGGTCATAAAAACATGATACCTCTCTCTTGTTTTCCCTCTCTCCTTCCTCCTTCCTTCCCTCCCTCCCTCTTTCTGTCTTTCTTTTCTTTCATTTTTCATTTTTTTGATACAGGCTCTCTTCATAGTCTTGGCTATCCTGGAACTCACTCTGTAGACCAGGCTGACCTCAAATTCACCAAGATCCTCTGCCTCCAGAGCTAGGATTAAAGGCATGGGCCACTAATACTTTTCTTTCTTTTTTTTTTTTACTAATGGTATACTATGTATATAATAGCACATATTCTTGTGTACTGTTGCCACTAAATAAGGATATGTTTATAATTCATTGTTATGTTTAATCTCTTTCCATTCAGAATCCAAGAGTCAGTTTTTCAAGGAGAAAAAACTGGGCCAGGAGCCAAGATCTGTTCTCCAAAACGTAATATTGTGTAGATCATCTTACCCCTAGAGATCTCAGTGGCCTCATCTGTGAAAAAAGAAAAAAAAACAAAGGTAAAACCTTTAGCCTGTCTCAAGGTAAGTGTTCAGTGAAGAATTGTCTTTTGTGCCAAACAAAAACAGCTGTCACCATCAACAGTAATAAAACATAGGAAAGAAAACAGACATAATGGAAACCTGGTGGTGGCACATATCTCTAATCCAAACACTCAAGAGGCAGAGCAGGCTGATCTCTGAGAGGTTGAGGCCAGCCTGTTCCAGGACAGCCAGGGCTACACAGAGAAATCCTGTCTCAAAAAACCCTCAAAATAAATAAATAAATAAAAACAACCCCTAAACAATAACAACAATTAAAAAAAAAAAAAAAAACCAACCAACCAAACAAAAAACCCAACAACCCAGACACAGTGGTGGCTTAAACACACAGATTTTTTTTGTCATTTAAAATAATTTTCTTTATGAGAGAGAAAGTAAAGACTCTCTGTGTAGGTCAGGCTGGCCTTGTGGTGACAGCAATTCTCCTGCCATAGCTCCCTGTGTGATGGGATTATAAGCACTCGGCACCACATCTGGCCGATGTAATTTTTTAAAGGTTTAATTAATTTAATGTGAAAGTGTATGTGTGCTCCCATGAGTGCCTTCAGAGGCCAGAGGTATTTCAGCCTGGCAGTTTCAGCTGCAATTGCAAGTGATTATGAACCGTCCAAAATAGATGCTTAGAGTGGAACTTGGGTCAAGAGAAGTGTCTGCTCTTAAGCACTGAGCCATCTCTCTAGTCCATAAAATAGCTCTGTTTTTAAATTTAAATTTTGTTTCATGTGTATGTGTGTTTTGCTTGCATTCATGTCTGTACCATGTGTGTTCCTGGTGCCCTCAAGAGACCAGAGGAGGGTGTCATATCCCCGGAACTGGAATGACAGGCGGTTGTGAACAGCCATGTGGATGCAGAGAGCTGAACTTAGGTTCTCTGGAAGAGCAGCCAGTGCTCTTAGTGCTGAGCCATCTCTCCAACATCTAAAATAATTCTTGAAGTAATAGTTCAGAGTAGGCCGAGTGACTTTGTAAAGTAGTCTGAGAGACCAAATCTAGTTTTGATCTGTTGCCCCTAAGGTTCCCATAGTTCTCAAAATCAAAGATGGCTGCCAGACCTCCACTGTCACAGTGGGGTTCCAGGCAGCAAGGCAAAGACAAAGAAAAATGCATTCTCTCTCATTGAAGACTCCCTGAACCAAAGCTCAGGCTTCAAGGAAGCAAAGCTGGAGATGTGGCTGCCCTCAATAAAATGGGGTTTATGCTACTGAGAAGGAAGGAAAATTTGGATATCAGTGGGAAAGCAGAAGTTTCTGCCACAGGTGGAGCTTCCTCCTCTCACTTCTGAGCTCAGGGCCTTGGCAGTGACTTATGTGCCTTTAGTGATGGGAGCAAGCCTCAGGCCTGACCACTGCCTAGAGAAAGAAACTATCTGTTTTCTATACTACATTTCTGTTATTTTCTTTGGTGGTTTGTTTGTTTCTTCTAATTCTTTGTATTTTCTTGAGACAGGATCTTGTTATATAGTCCTGGATGGTCTGGAACTCAGAATACAGCCAGTCTGTTGAACTAGCCTGCCTCTATTGTTGTGATTACAGGCCTGTGTCCTGGTGCTTGGCTGTGTTTTTCTTTCATTCCATGATTCATTACAGAGGTACCTCTCTCTTGTTTGGAGGTTTGTTTTGGTTATTTAAAAAAAACAAACAAACAAACAAACAAAAAAAAAACCACCCATACGTGTTCAGTGGATAGTTGTTGTGCAACTGATGGTTGTGTAGAGATGAGCTGACATCTGTCCAACTGCAAGCAGTTATGTAAGCAAGACACTAGAATGATAGAGACCTTTTCCCAAGGGTGTCACCCGACCAGTCATCAAAAGTTACTGTATTGATAAGTGTATCTCCTTTTGGTATATTCTTTGCATTTGGGATGGTCACACAGGACACCTGTTTGCCTGCATTGCTAGTTGAAAGGAGTTGGTTGTTTTAAAGTCACTTAGCTCTTACCTGTCCATGAAATTTTTATTCCAGTACTGCCCTTGCATAATTTAAGTATACCATTTTTGGGGACCAGTATTAGAGTTGAAATCAGGGTCTCACAATGCTCCTCACCTCCTCTATACAGAGCTACATATACCCAGCCTCAAGGCAGGCCAATATTTTCTTTACAAGTTTTCCTTGTAAAGACTTACAGACACCATATTTTGTCATTTAAAATGGTTCAGATGGCCAGGTATTGTGGAACACGGCTGTAATCCTAGAATTTTGGAGGTAGGTAGAGGCTGGAGGATCAGGAGTTGGAGGCTAGCCTGGGATACAAGGTTCAGTTGTCATTATTTTGGTGTAAAAAGGTGAATTTAAATTAACAACCTTGAGAAAATGAAACAGCAATTCAGAGCATGGAATTTTAAGTGAGGAAGAATCTAAGGAGTCAATCAGTAGTTTAGTGTTTATAGTCAAGAGATAAAGAGAGATTAAGATTTTATATCTATGAAGTGTGTTTACATTTCACAAGCTCTTGTACTTTTCCTCTTAATACTTGGGCATGGTCAGGTATGGTGGTACACAACTTCTGACTGGCCTTGATCTCACTGTGGAACTGAAAATGACCTTGAACTTCTGATTCTTCAACTTCTACCTATCTAGTGTGGGGATTACAGGCAGGAACCACCATGTTGGGTTTTGTGCAGCCCTGTAACGCTAAGCAAGTTCTCTCCCATAATAAGTGTCTTCTGAGCCTCTCGTTGGATTTAAAAGGCACTTGACATTTGAGTCATCAGACTAAATATGTCTATCCCTGAATACCACGCTAATATCCCATATTTTGTTTTGCTTTGGTGGCTTGACACAGTCTTACTCTGTAGTCCAGGCTAGTCTCACACTTAGTACCTACCATCCCTCATGTCTTAGCCTCCTACATGTTGGGCTCAGCTTAGTTAAAAACAAAACAAAACAAAAAAACAAAACTTTTTTTTTTCAGGGCTGGAGAGATGGCTCAGTAGTTAAGAGCACTGGCTGCTCTACCAGTAGACCTGGGTTCAAGTCCCACCACCCACAAGGTGTCTCACAACTGGCTGTAACTCCAGTTCCAGGGGATCTGACACCCTCTTCTGGCCTCTGTGTGCACTATATATGCATGGTGCATAGACATACATGCAGGCAAAACACCCACATATATAAAACTAAATGAATAAAATAAAATTTATCACTTTTTTTCATTAACAGAAAATAGCTGTTCAGTGTATTGTTTTAAAAGTAACTTTCCCCTCTCTAAATTGCTTAGAATAACCTGCCTCTCTCACAATATTAAAGACTTCTATGTTGAAGAAGCATCTATCCTACGTATCTTTGTTTTCTTTTGTAGTATTTGATATGGATACTTAACACATAAACATTCAAAAAAAAAAAAAAAACCAAACATACTTCAGCCTTAAAAAGAAGAGCAAAAGGGAGGATTAAGGGAGGAAAAATTTTTTAAAAGGCGGGGGGGGAGGGGGGGAGAAAAAAGACTCACAAAGTCAGGGGCAGGGCTAAGAAGATGGGTAAGAAGGCTTGGTGTCCAAGCATGAGGATCTGAGTTCAAATCCCTAGAACTCTCAGGGTGGTGGTGGCACACACCTTTAATTCCAGCACTCAGGTGGCAGGGGCAGGCTGATCTCAGTGAGTTAGAGGCCAGTCTAATCTACAGAGCAAGTTTCAGGACAGGCTGTAAAGCTACAGAGAGAAACTCTGTCTCAAAAACCAAACACCAAACCAAAACAAAACAAAAATTCCCAGAACTCAGGTAAAGATCTGGGCATGATCCCTTATGTACCTGTAGCCCCAGTCTCTCTGCCTTGCATGTGAACACACACCACCACATGATATCCCCCCCCCCCATATAGTTTATACTCTTAACTGAATTACTACTTGACTCCTTGAGTGATTTCATAGCTAAGAAATCTGGCTCTGTGTATGAGTCACAGCTTTGATTTGTTTTTTTCTGGACTTGGAACTTGGCTGTTTTGGATTTACTGGATACATAGGGAAGGCTGTGATTCCTTCTGGACCTGTACGTTTCATGTTGTCTTATCATGGGGTTGGGGATATACTCATTTGTCAAGTGTTTGCCTGGCATGCACCAAGCCCTGGGTTCAGTTGCTGGCACCTTATGAACTGGGTGTGAAGGTGCACACCTGTAGTCCAAACACCCAGGAAGATGGAGGTAGGAAGATTCAGGTCATCCTTGGCTATATAGTAAGTTCAAGGCAATCTGGAAACAAAACAAAACATCCTCCTGCCTTCTGATAGATGTGGTGGCTCCTGCCTGTGATCTCTGCATTGCCAGTTGCTGGCACCTTATGAACTGGGTGTGAAGGTGCACACCTGTAGTCCAAACACCCAGGAAGATGGAGGTAGGAAGATTCAGGTCATCCTTGGCTATATAGTAAGTTCAAGGCAATCTGGAAACAAAACAAACATCCTCCTGCCTCCTGATAGATGTGGTGGCTCCTGCCTGTGATCTCTGCATTGCGAAGGGTGAGGCAGGACTGCTTGGAAGGAGACCGGCCTGGACTGTACAGTGAGTTTATTCTGCTCTTAGAGAAGTTATTGTCAATTTGTAATGTTTGGCTCCATCTCCTGGTCAGCAGTTAGCACACTGTCTCCTTTCAGGGTCTGTATTGGAGGGAGGGAGAGGAATGATAAAGGAAAGATGGCCATTCCTATTGATCTGGTCAGGGAAGTAGACAGGGTTACCCATCTTTTCCCTTAGCTTTCCTGTGCAAGATGCATACGTTTCCCAGTTGATGAAGTCTATAAATGGATCTGACACTTTTGACATTATGTTGGTGTTTAAAGAGATTTCTCTGTCATTTCTTTTCACCTAATGTATGTGAATACTTCCCATTTCTTCTGGTGCCATAACAGTTGATATTTATTGAGTCTTTATTAAGGACCTAAGTAATTAATTGTTCTAGTTATATCTAGAATGAGCACAAAAGACTAAAATCTTATGAGGGGAATATGTTTAAAATAGTTTTCTTTTTGTTATTTTTTTCAAGATAGGGT